ATGGGATGTGAAGGGTAAAGCTGGAGGAGTCGCTCTCCTTTCCTGAATATGTGGCTCTAAGAGCTTTAAAAACATGTTTTTTCACCTCATTCCCCAGCTCTGGAATTCGCTGGTGGGGCTTGCTCAATGCATTACAACATCCTGCTGCCCCGGGGTCAGCGTGGTCTTTCTCCCAGTGCCTCCCCCAAAATGTTGCCAGTAGGTGTCTGTGGGGAGGAGGTGCAGTGCCACTCTGAGAAATGAAACCTCTGCCTCCTGCTCCCTTCAGATCAGAGAGACCATGTTCCTGTAAGAGCCCTGGAGCTAGACCTGGATTGTCGGAGTGGAAATGTGCCCTGCTATGTTGTCAGCTCTCTGGGTTATGAGACAGGCTGGGTCCAGGGCAGGAGATTGTTAAAGCTGAGTGTGTGAGCTTAAAGGTAAAGCTCTGCTAGGACGAGCCAGGAAACTCTGTGCAGCTTAACTGTCCCCTGGTTCCACACACGGTGTCACAAAAGAGCCGTGGATCCACAGCAGGGATCCAGACTGTCCTCAGGTCAGGCAGTGTCAGTGAGGGGTCTGTGCTCTGCCTCCCTTTTCCTGGGGCTTGTGTGCCTGGGAAAACGGGTCCATGAGAATGGAAACCATAAGGGATCCTCACCACAGCAGATCCAGCTACGTTCCAGAGCGTGAAGGGACATGTCCTGGCCCATAAAGGCCTCCATCCTCTTCACGGTGCAGTTGGCTTTGTTGTTGAACTGCTGCTGATGGAGACGAGGCTGCTGTGTGCCAAAACACGGCTCTGAGCTGCAGAGAAATGTGTCTCCTCCCCCAAAAGAGGATGCTTTCACCCACAGCAGGGCTCTGCTGAGGCGCTGGTTTGGAGCAGAGCAGCACAGAGCTCTGCCCAGGGCAGTGCTGCCATGGGAGGGATGGATGGGGAGCACCCCGGGGTGCTGATGAAGCTTCTGGACCCTGCCTGCCCTTAATATTCCTTCTTTTTCCAGTGTGTTGCTCTCTTAGAATCTATACCCTGCTCAAGGAGGCTTTAAATGAGCATCATCACACCCTGAACATCCCACCATGAACGGGTACCTGAACGAATCCAATTTCCTGATGGTGGAGGAGGGCTTCACCACCAGAGACCTCCTGGAGAACCTCCTCGGGGAGCTGTGCCAAGGGGTAAGGGCTGGTTCTCTGCTTCCCCCCTTGCAAGAGGCACTCATGGAAGCTTCTGCTTACTCCAGCTTTCCCCTAGAGCGACCAGCAAGCCTTCTTCGTGGCAGACCTCGGGGACGTCGTGAAGAAGCACCTGCATTTCCTGAAGGCCCTGCCCCGAGTGAAACCCTATTTCCCAGTGAAATGCAACGGCAGTGAAGGAGTGATTCGGCTGCTGGCAGAGCTGGGGGCAGGCTTTGCCTGTGCCAACAAGGTAAGGATGTGGGAGGACAGCTCCAAGTGAGCATCCTACAAGCATTTGTGGGAGAGTGGCAGAGCTCACCCTCCTTTCTTAAGTCTCCGCTCAGTAGGTGACATTTACAGGGGCAGGAGTCTCCCTCTGCTGTCAAAAGTCTATTGGCACAGCCCATAAATCCCTGTCCTCTGTCTGGTGACTCAGGCCTTCCCTTTGACCAACATTCCTGCCTCTGGAACTGGTGTCTTGGCTGGCAGGCTTGGCTGGTGGCACAGCACACCCCTGGGGTGCCACTGCCAGAGCCATCCAACTCTTGCTTTCTTTAAGGATGAGGCTAAAGCTCCCTGCTCCCTCCTCCTCATCACTTGCAATAGCCAGATTTCCAGGGAGGAACCAAATTAAGCCACTTACTTGTACATAATTAAATAAGATGTGTTTCCAGGAAGAGAAAGTGCAAGTGTTGTCACAGCTCAGACCAGGGGTCACATGCCAACCCTACGCCTGCCAAACCCACTTGTTTCCTCTCCTGGTCTCATGCTGTTTTAAACACCTTACCACAGTCTGTCCTTGCCAGGACAAAGTCCACTGTGATGCCTTTGAGCTCTTGTAGCTTTTCCTTGGAAAAGCCCAGGCCGCAACGCTGACGCTTTGCTGCAAAGCTGGACAAGACCCAGGGCTGGTGGTGGCCATGGGGACCTTCCTGAGTGTGTTCCCTGTCCCTGCAGGCTGAGATCACACGGGTTCAAGGCATTGGAGTCCCAGCTGACAGGATCTTCTACAGCAGCCCCTGCAAGCAGGTTGCCCACATCAGGTACGCGGCCAAACACGGGGTGCAGCTGATGACCTTCGACAACGAGGTGGAGCTGAGCAAGGTGGCCAGGAGCCACCCCCGTGCCAGGTGGGTCTCTGGCAGCACCATTGGAGGGGCAGCTGGAGGAGGAGCTGGGCAGGGGGCTGTGGGGTGCTACAGGGGCTGAAGAGGAGGTTGTAGAAGGTTGGCGTCGGTTTCTTCTCCCAGGTGACAAGCGATAGGACAAGAGGGAACAGCCTCAGGTTGTGCCAGGGGAGGTTTAGATTGGATATTTGGAAAAATTTGATTGCTGAAAGGGTGGTCAGGCATCGCAACAGGCCGCCCAGGGAAGTGGTGGAATCACTGTCCCTGGAAGTGTTCGAAAAACACGTGGATGTGGCACTTGGAGAAATGGGTTGGTGGTGGGCTTGGCAGTGCTGGGTTAATGGTTGGATTTGGTGATCTCAGAGGGCTTTTTTGGCCTTAATGATTCCATGACCCTGTGATTCCAAGCCCCCTCAGCACCGTGTGGCTTTGCTGTGCAGGATGTTGTTGGGGATCACTGCTGACTCCAGCCCTTCCATGACATTTGGGACCACGCTCAAATCCTGCCGGCACCTGCTGGAGGCAGCGAAGGAGCAGGCTGTGGAGGTGGTTGGCATCAGGTACAGCACGTGGTTCTTCTTCCAGAGGGGTGCTCAGCCCCTGTGGATCGGGATATGGGGAGCTCTGCCCTGCTGGAACAACACAGTGCTCCACGGAGCCACCGGGAGTGAGGCGAAGGCAGGGATTTGCAGGGGTTCACATTGTTGGGGTCAGTTTGGGGCAGGTTTGACCCTAAGAAAGGCTTTTGGGGGCTCTGTGGGTCTGTCCAGGTGGTCTGGCTTGGGGTGGTGCGTGGGATGCACAGAGCTGCCGCCAGTGGGTGACAGTCCCAGTGCTGTCACTCTCTGGGGACAGTCAAACCCTGCTGAAATGGGCTCTGTGCCCTCAGCTTCCACCTTGGTGCCCGTGGGCTGGAGCCCCAGGCCTTCGCTCAGGCCGTGGCTGCAGCACAGCTGGTGTTTGACATGGGCACAGAGCTGGGCTACCAGATGCACCTCCTGGACATCGGCGGGGGCTTCCCCGGCACCGAGGACACCAGAGCCCGGTTCGAAGAGGTACCACAGCCCCCAACACCTGCCCTCAGCAGGCACAGAGCGAGGCTGGAGGCTCTCCCTGGGTCTGGCTCGCTCTGGAATCCCTCTATCCAAGAGGGAACTCCTTCCTCTCACACAGATTGCTGCCGTGGTAAACTCTGCCTTGGACTTGTACTTCCCGGATGGCTCCGGGGTGGAGATTGTTGCCAGACCAGGCCGGTACTACGTGACCTCCGCCTTCACCTTTGCTGTCAGCATCACTGCCCTGGAAGAGGTCCCCATGGAGCAGCCTGGCTCTGACGGTAGGTGGGACATTGGGACAGGCCCACCTGTGTGCCTGAGCTCCCCCTGAGCCCTCTCCTTGCTCCCCTTCCAGAGGAGGAGTCCGGCAGCAGGAAGAGCCTTGTGTATCACCTCAACGACGGCATCTACGGCGCCTTCAGCTGCCTCCTGTTCGACAGCCCCTGCCCCAGGCCTCGGCTGCACAAGGTGAGGGGGTTTGCCCAGCCTGGGGAGAGCCCGGGGGGTCCCTCACGTTGCGTGGCATCACCTCATGCCAGAGGGGAGCAGACTGTGGGGAAGCTGTAGCCAGTCCGTGGCCTCCCGGGGTTGGATGGGTGGAGATGAGACAGGTCACTGTGACACTGGGACATCCTCATCCCTGTGGCTGCTCTCTGTCCACCCCAGAGACCCTGCCCAGAGCACCCCTCCCACAGCAGCAGCCTCAGGGGCCCCCCTGGCCACGCCGAGGATCGCATCGCCGACGGGCTGGAGCTGCCCGAGCTGCACGTCGGGGACTGGCTGCTCTTTGGGAACATGGGGGCCTACACCATCCCAGCCTCAGCCCAGCTCGGGGGGTGTCCCCAGCCACACGTCACCTACGCCATGTCCCGCATGGCCTGGTAAGAGACGGTCAGAGCGGGGGGACGGGGCTGGGTCCTGCGGGGTGGGAGGTGCCGCTTTCCCTCCTCCACCGGGGCTCTTCGCCTGAGGAAGAGGGTCAAATCTGAGTCCCAGAGCCCTGAAAATTCAGGGTAAAAACCTGCCCTCAGAGGCAAAACTCCTGTTCTTTTAAATGTTGGCAAACTTGAGCCTGTTTTTCGCTGGGGAAGCCACGGGCAGCTCACCTCTGGCTGTTGTTCTGTTGGGGGGGGGATGTGAGAACCCCGGAGATTCCCCTTCCTTGGGCCCACTCTGTTCACAAGGGGCTGCTCCTTCCCCCTTGCTCCCCCTTGGGTGTCTCCCACTTGCAGGAAAGCCGTCCAGCTCTTCCAGGGAAAGCCCCTGGAAGACGACCGTGAGAGCCTCTGCACCCCCCTGTCCTGCGGCTGGGAGATGGCAGAGACCCTCTGTGTCCCTCCGGTCTTCGCTCCCACCGGCATCATCTGAACAGGGATGGCACAGGGAGGGGAGGACCCATGGTGGGGAAGGGCCCCGGGGTGGTACCGGGGTGGGGAAGGGTCCTGCAGAAGTACCAGGATGGGAGGGAAGGTCCCATGGCAGTACCAGGGGGATAAAGGTCCCACAGCGGTACCAGGGGTGGGAAAGGTCCCATGGCGGGAAAGGTCCCATGGTGGGAAAGGTCCCATTGTGGTACCAGGGGGGATAAAGATCCCATGGCAGCACCTGGCAGGGAAAAATCCCCCAGTGGGAGAGGTCCCACATTGGTACTGGTGGGGGAAAGGTCCCAAAGTGGTACCAGTGGGGGAAAGGTCCCCTGGCTGTACTGGAGGAGGGAAATGTCCCATGGTGGTACCAGGAGGGAAAAAGTCCTGCAGTAGGAAAGGTCCCATGGTGGTACTGGTGGGGGAAAGGTCTCATGGCTGTACTGGAGGAGGGAAAGGTCCCACGGTGGGAAAGGTCCCCTGGCAGCACCAGGGGGAAGGAGGTGCCCTCCTGCCGCTGGCACCGCCCCGCTCCACTCGCCCCGGGACTGCACTGGGAACTTCGAAGTAAATCCTGTCCCATGGATCCTGTGCCATAAATCCTGCTCCTCCAGCTCGTGCAGAGTGTGTTTGGCAGGTGGGCGGGGGGTGCCCAGCAGGTTTGGGCTCTTGTTTTAGGAGGGATGGTAATAGCTGGTGTCCAGCATGCCCCGGGGAGGCAGATGAGCCGGGGGCTCCCACTCCACACCCCGTGCTGGAGGCGGCGCAGAATCCGTCTGCAATCAGCGTTTTAATGAGGTTTTGCTCATTAGGGAGGGCGGGGCTGTTCACCCAAACTTTATCCGGGCATCCAGAGGGAGCCGTGGGATTTTGGGGGCACGGAAATAGGGGGGTGGGTTTGGGATGCGGGTATCACTGCGGAGAAGACCCATCTCCCAGGTTCCCGGGGTCCCCTCAGCCCTAAGGAAGGCTCCTGTCCTGGGGTGTGTGCGGGGGTCCTGCACAGGACAGCCCCTCTGAGACCTGAAAGCCAGGGACTGGGAGAACTGGGGGGCACTGGGAGCCCCGGGAGGACACTGGGAGGATATGGAGCACTGGGAGAGCACTGGAAGGAGACTGGGAGCCCTGAGAGGACACTGGGAGGACGCTGAGAGCACTGGGATGACACTGGGAGCACTGGGAGGGCACTGGAAGGACACTGGGATGACACTGGGAGGGCACTGGGAGCGCTGGAAGGACACTGGGGTGACACTGGGAGTACTGGAATGACACTGGAAGGACACTGGGAGCACTGGGAACCCTCGAGCGCGGCCGCCAGGGGGCGCTGGGGCGCGGCGAGCAGCGTGTCCTCCGCCCCGCCAGAGGGCGCTGCAGCGCCTGGGGCGCCGCTCCTGCCTCCCCTCTCTGTCCCCTCCCAGCCGCAAAGCGCGACGCGGTGTCGCGCTTGGAGTCGCGCTTGGCGGCGGCGGCGTCGCGCGAGGGCGGTGAAGGACGGGCCGGGGGAGGGCCGGGGGTTTCGTGACAGCGGCCGTGTCGCGACAGAGCGCGCAACCATGCCCTTCTGGGACCTGCAGAAGCAGCTGGGCATCGACGTGGACACCTGGCTGCTGCGGCAGAGCATGCCGCAGCCGAGGAGCAGGGCCGCCCGGTGCCACGCCTTCGAGCGCGAGTGGATCGAGTGCGGGCACGGGATAGGCCGGACGCGTGCCCAACGCGAGTGCCAGCCCGAGTACGAGGACTTCGTGGAGTGCATGATGCACGCCAAGCTGGTGGGTCAGCGCGGGGCGCGGGGGGGCACCGGACTGGGAGGGACAGGGAGGGATCTGAGGGGTCCTGACAAAGGGGCAGCAGGTCCTGCGGAGGGACATGGGGGTGTCCGGGCCGAGGGGGGACACGGGGGGCACCGGGGGGGGGTGGGAGAGGACATGGGGGTCACGGGGATCTGGAGGGTCCTGATAAGGAGGGGGGGCACTGGGTCACCAAGGTCCGGGGGGGGACATGGGGGGCCCCAAGAGTCTGGAGGGTCCTAATTAATATGAGGGGAGGAGGGAGGCACGGGGTGGGTACAGAGGTCTCTGGGGGGCCCTCACAAATAGGGATGAAAGGGGGGGCACGGGAGCACCAGGGGAGGGGGCTGGAGGCACCTGAAGCACTGGGTCAGGCTGGGGAGGGGGTGCTGAGGGTCCTGGGCAAGCTCTGGAAAGGTCTGGGGGCTCCAGCCCGGGGGGGAGAAGGGGGATTGGGGTGGGTTCTGGACCCCCAGCAGCCCCTTCCCCAAGGGCTCTGGTGGCTGCAGGAGCCCAGAGAAGCTGCGGCTGCCCCATCCCTGGAAGTGTCCAAGGCCGGGTTGGAGCATCCTGGGATGCTGGGGGTTGGAATGGGCTTTAGGGTCCCTTCCCAACCCAAACCACCCTGGGAGTCGGGTCAGCCACTGGAGAAAATCCCGTCTGGCCAAAAACATCGGGCTGAAAACCCAAATTATCATCAGCTGTAAAACGTGCTGCAGCATCCTGAAAGCCCCGAGGTTTCTGGAGAGAGGGTCCAGCCCGGCTGAGGAGCGCCCAGGGTGGGGTTAATGTGGGTTCCACGACCTGCCCTGGGCACCCCCTCAGAGCTGTGACACCCCTCTGTGTCCCTGCCAGGCCAAGAGGCTCCAGACCATCCTGCAGCAGCGGGACAAGATGATCAAGGAAGGGAAGTACACCCCACCTGACTACCACCAGGGCAAGGACGACCCCAGGCCGTGATTCCCGGGGTCCTGACGTGGAATTCCTGCAGGAAGCAAACCCACAGGACACAGGGGTGGGCAGTGACCCCACGCATTGCTCGGGCAGTAAATATCCCTTTGGAATGTCTCCTTGGCTCTGTCGTTTCTTTTTTGGGGGAGTAAAACCCGGTGTGAGGGGCTTTGCTTGCAGCTGATTTCCCTGAGGGGGATTTGGGACACCCTAAAACACCGGAGAGGGGCTGGGAATGTTGCCCTTGAGGGGGTCAAATGCCCCTGGAACCGGAGGGAGCTGTGTGCTGGCAGCTTGTCCCTGCTGCAGGAAAGGGATTTCTGCTGGAAGTGACAGGAGAGTTGGAAAAAATGCCAAAAAAATCTCATCAACTATCCAAGCTCGTCCTGCAAAACTGGGCTGTTCCCAGTCGCTCTCCAGCTGTGTGAGGTGAAAAATGATTAAAACACCTCTTTTCCACACGGATTCGGACTGGAAAGGGATGGATCTGGGTTCTCTCCTGCCCTCCCAGTGTGTGGGAGGCAGGTTTTTTCCCTGGGGGCTTTGAAATCCTGTGTGTCAGCAGGATCCATGGAGTGCTGCTGGGGGGGGGTTGTCCCTCCCAAGGGGAGCTTTTCCTTCCATTCCCTCCAAATCCTGCTCGATTTTGGGACAACACTGAAGCAGGTGAGTCCCTGGAAATGGAGAGTGGCCAGATTTGTGCTGTAATCCGTATTTTTAATCCTGATGGTGGTGCTGGATCTGGGATGGGTTTCCTGTGGGTTTCCTGATCCTGACAAATCCCCACACTGGGTGACAGAGGCTGATCCAAGTGTGGTGGAACCTCCAGCAGCAGGTGACAGGAGGGGAATTCCCCTGGGAATGCCCCTCCCAGGGCACAGGGATCCCTCCTGGGAGCAAAACAGGCTCCTGAAGCCCTGATTCCAGGCACAGACCTGGAATTGCTGTGCACTTGGATATGAGGGGTCACAGTTGGGTGTTGTGTTTTTGGGGCTCTGCCCAACCTCTGAGCCATCCTGGGGTGTCCAGGGCCAGGACCTGAACCAGGAATGCTCCATTATTTCCACAGAGTCCCCTGGAAGAAGCACTTCCCTGGATTTCACCCTGTTTCCACACAGGCCTCGCAGGTGCTGTCCCAGCGGGATTTGACCTTCTTTGGGGATTTCTGCAGCTCCTCATCCAGCTCCTCTCCCTCAGCTCCCTCCAAACCAGCCTTCCCGAGCGCTGCTGGGAGGTTTCTCCCTTCCCCCAGGGCCCAGATGGATCCGTTGCTCCAGCCCAGATGGATTCCCTGCGCTCGAGCTGAGTCACGGCTGGGGACGGAGCTGCGATTCCCCCCCCGGCAGAGCCCCAAATTCAGGGTCTGGGTTCAAATCCTCTGAGCCAGGGGTAAGGATGTCAGCACTGGGGTAGATCTCTGCATTCCAGATGTGAAAGGAGGCAGGAGGGAGCTCCTGGGGTGGGAAACACGGGAGGGATGTGGGAGCAGTGTGAGGAAACGGGGCAGAAACGTGGATGGTTTCAGGTGGAAAGGCCCTGGGGGTCTGAGGAGCTGCCAGAGCTGCCAGAACAAGTAAATGATGGATAAAGAGGGAAAATTGTGCTGGGCATGGAAGTGGAACAGTGACACGTGAGCCATTGGCCGTGGAGTTATTTATCCGCAGGGAATAGTTGTCCTGGAGGGATCTGGGAGGAGGAGAGAGCGGAGGGGATGGGACTGTGTGGATGGGGGGGTGGGGACCCACATGGCACCTCCAGGAAGCGCCCAGCAGGGTTGAGCTGTTCCAGGACCACGATTTCCCAGGATCAGCCCCTGGGTTTCACCCAGGGATGGAAATTTGGGAAGCGAGGCCAGCCAAGAGGTCAAACCTTTGTGACCCCCGTGCCATGTCTGCACCCCCCCAGTTGTTCATTATCATAATGGTTAATTATACTTCCCTTTCCCAGAGAGACATTGTGTACTGTGGAGAGGCTGGGAATGTGGGGGAGGCTTTGGGAAGTAGCAGGATCGCAGGGTCTGCCTCAGGAATGACTCTTCTGGTGGCGGCTTGACTGTAACAGTCCTTACCTTGGTGGCATCACAAACCCCTCCCGAGTTGGATGTGAAGGCTGGCAGCATCTGGAGCCACGCCACAGCACGGGCTGGTGCTCCCGGGAATTGCTGGTTTGGGAAAAAAAACCCCAACCAATCCTGTGATTGGGAAGAGTTGCTTTTCCAGGGAGAGGGGAAAAAAAAAATCCGGGCTCAGCAAAAAGCCTGGCAGCCTGCTGGTGGTGAGGGTGACTCATCCCACCGAGCGGTCCAGATGTCTGAGGGAATATCGGGATGTATCTGAGCACTCCTGGCTCCCGAGTGGCTCTTTAGAGCCGCTCAAAACCTAATTGCTCTGGCGATCGGTGCTATCGCAGCCAAGGGCACACGGAGTGCGCCGGGGCCGGGAGGATCCATTTGCCAGTAGTTAAAAGCTCTGTCAGGAATTTCGGCCAACAAAGGGACTAATCAAAGGCTTGATGAAAACGATCAAGTTCGTGGAGAGATAAAAAAAAAAAACAAAAACAACCCTCCCAGCTCTGGTGGGAGGAGAGCGTGGCTGAGGCTCTGGGCAGCGATCGAAAATGGGTCCGATGCTCCCAACCGAGTTCCCCCGGGCAAAGGGATTTGGAGCATCCTCGGCTTCGGAATGTGGTTCACCACAAAGCCCTGAACAAGATCCATTTCCAGCCTGTAGTAGTTCCAAATTTACATTTTGCTCTTTGCCTTTTTTGTCGTCTTTTTGGCGCGGGGTGTTGCCACGTCCCCGGGTGGGTGGGAGGCACTGGGGGCTGGGCTGGGGTGAGAGATCTCCGTGGGGAGCCGCTTCTGCTGTCGGTGCAG